TTAAGAAATTAGTTCAATTTTTGGGAGGTTAATCAGGTGAATAAAACCGTTTGAGCATCATGAGGAGTCTAATCGCCATGTATTAGGTATAACCAAATATGCAACCTCTTTTATGCATTATCTCTTACATGAACATTCTTAACGGCACCGGTGGTGTAGTGGTAAGCGTGATTACCTCTCACCCCAGAAGGCCTGGGTTCAATCCCAGTCGGCGCCGCCGGGATGTTCTGAGGCATAACATCCCCCGGTTCATGAGTTGATGGGTCGATAGGTATGGTCCAGGTGTGGGAGCTGCCTTCTTGGCACGTCGGTAGCATTGGTGCTCAGCACGGAAAACAAGATCGACGGAAAAAACAAACCAAAGGAAAAAAAAAACCTACGTCTTCTTGGAGATTGTGATAATCAAATGGTTTACTTTAATACTTAAATAACTTAAGATATACCACGAACATTACAACAATCATCTTATTTGCATGCTTAATCTGACTCGAGTTCATATTTTTCCCACAAGCGTGAGCCGGAAATACTCCCAACTACAAACGTATAAGTTCGGCTTGACTGTTTGAGTATTCTAGTAGCATCCCAGAACCACTAACCACACTCAACTGCTTTCCCGCTGTTCACATTTCCACATTCGATATACTTTTTCATTTTCATGAAAATGGGCCTACTAGCATCGCAAAGACGTGTGCCATAACAAGCATTTTGTGTAGGTGATTTTAATCACGGAAAGTTAACCCAGTCGTATACCCCATCTTTGAAAGGCATTCCTACACTCAGCTGATGCTATGAATAAAAATTTAATTTAAAATTCAAAACTCATTCCGCCCATTCAAAGCTTTACGCCCACCAACCACCAAAAGGCAATTTATGCAGATTGTCTACTGCATCGATTCTCAACGTTTTCCCACCCGTCACGCTCGCTCAAAATCGCTTCTTTCCATGTGCTTTTCGCTTAGTGGGGATTTGCAAAGCCCAGCTTGAGAATCGGTGGTCTACTGAATCAATTAAATCACCACCCACCAAAGTTGAAATGTGATTCGGTTCAACGAGCATTCATTTATTTATCTTACATTAATTGATTCCTTTCCTAAAACAACAGCTCAATTATCTTCCGCTCTCAACCAACACGCAGTGCTGTTTTGCCATATCGTGACAATGACATTGAACCGGCCGACGGAGGAGAAGCTAGAGAAGCTATCAGTTGCGTCGATGTTTCCATTTCGGGGGTGATCGAGTTTTTCCCCCTGTTGGTTCTAATGGTCAACGATGCGGAACGATTAAACGAGGTCATCAACGTCGATGCCGACCGATCCTTGTCCGTGCACAGTGCAATGGGATAGGGCTAGGGGGTCTCGTAGGGGTGAGGGTTAACAACCGAGCATCAAACCAATCTATTGGTGATAAAGACAATGAATGAAATGAAAACAGACAGTATCCGTAGCGAAACCACCGACGCACACTGGGGCAGCGAAGCCGGTAGCGCGACCAAAACCTCAAACGCCAACAAAGCTTACAAAGGGCCAACTTTTGACGGTATCTGATTTGATAATTTTTTCGCCGCAAAGGAAGTGCTCGATTCTAGACTTTGAATGTACCGTCCTAGGAATTTGATTTCCTCGGCAAATTTATGCACTTTATACACTTTATACCCATATGGAAAAAGGAGGCATTGAGAAAATGGCAGTCAAAGCTACGAATTGTAAATATTTGAACAATCATAGCAAATGCGATTACTTTGCTTGATGCGACAAACTGAGTTGATGTTGTTTTCACATTTTCACTACCAAATTTCGTAATTTGATCACATAATATGAAAGTAGATGCGAGTTGATAATCTATAGCGTTGTTATCTCATAATTTACAAAAATCCAATGCGATTCTAGACAGTATAGTACAAAGAAATGTTGTCGAAAACCTAAGAAATCTTATGACAGAATCGCTAGGTTGCTTGGTCACACTACCGGCTTCACTGTCCCAATGTGCGACGTCGTTATAATTATGGGGTGGACCAGACTACTGTCGTGAGCCGTTTGGACATGGTGTCCTGATGACCGTTGGAGCGGAATATGACCATCGAATATCTTTTAATTTCGGTGATGATAATCGTTATTGACGCCTAATCTGGTTCGAGATAATTGAACATCACGGTGGAAATAAAACAAATCCGACGCTGATAATATTTTGATAGGTTCAAATAAAAAGGTACCTTGTTTTAGCAGTCACGGTAAATAAACTAACGCATTGAGCCGTGATAATTTAAGATTAATAAAAAATATTGGTAGTGCGTGACCTGCCAAAATATAAAAAAGTGTACCCCCTTCAAAAAAACAATAATTCTAATTTCAATGGTTTTTTTTTATCATAAAAAGATCACTTTATTAGCGGTACACAAAAATTAAATTCAAATTTCAATAATATAAACATAAACTTGCGCTTCTTAAATTCGGTCGTCCATCTCATGATGCCCTCAGGTAGTGGAGCCTTGTAAATTCTCAGTAAACTGGCAGCTCATAAAAATAATAGGAAAATTTGAATTTTTAATTTGCTGCGATCAAATAAACAAAACATTTTAGAGGAATTTTATACGAAAAAAAAAGAAACCAAGTTGACTTCCATTGGGTATTTGCCCTTTTAAGAAAGCATTTCAAGAGTTGCTATCCAATTTTAACTATAAAGCTTACTTGTGAACGGTTGATATATTTCATTCATCCCGGCCCATGTGTTGATGCGTATGATAGGTTCCAACTGTTGCAATCGCCTTCCTAACACTCGACTGCCTTCGGTGATTAATCTCCAATTGCTGACCAGACACCGACGTTTGATGAAGAATAAAAAATACAACAACTTTCGACATAGTATCGATTTCCAGGTACATTATATGTAGGAAGCTCTTATCCACACCACGTTGTGAGGAAACTCCAAACTTAACTGGCCAACATTTAAATGGCTATGACTTTCTTGACAGCTCGAAGATACTAGCTTCATAAATGGCCAGAATCTCAAGAAATAGCAAATATTGGACGTTCATATGCATTCAGCGCTGCGCAGCAAATGAATTATGAACTAGTCTGTACAGTATCTGAAAATAATTGATCACCTAAAGAAGTTTTCCAAACACAGCAGCCTCCAGGAGAGTCAGAATTTCAAAATATAACGCACACCCCAACTAACATGTTCAGCTTTATAAGCCAACTTTTCCAGTATTGTGCTGTAAAGTAGCTGAAAAAAAACTGCAGATACAGCTACAAGCAGAAGCTAGAAAAATAGTTTTGGAGAGCGTTTACTCAACTTTTTCACAACCATTATTCAATGTGCCAGTCGCACTGAATAACAGCAGCCAATAAACGCTAATGTCACTTCTATGCTAATATTAATCAACTTAAAACTGGTAGCTGCAAAACAAAGCTAATAAAGTGAATTTATTACTCATTCGATGGCTTCTACACAGCTGACCACTCTTGCTGAATAACATAAACATCAAAAGTGATTTTTCAACAACTAAGCAACCTGTACTCTGCTAATACACTGTGTTAGTGCTACTTTGGAAACATTTTTACAGTCAGCTTAGTTTATTTTTAGACGTGAGCTATATAGTTTATATTCTGCTCCTTTACAAAGCTGAAGTAGCTAGTCGAGAAAAGTGATTCATGTGCACTATTATAAAACCTCTACTCAGCGATCTTGTTGTAGAAGGACATGTAGATTGTTTACGCCAGTTAAAAGTGTTGACGTAGCTTAGTGTTTGCCATTGCGGTTATCTCGAGTTCGATTGCAGGTTTCCGGTACTGGGTAAATAAATTTGGTGATTTTCTTATAACTAATTTCGGTTAATTTGATTGACAGTAAAATAAACTTGAAAAAAAAATCCTCCAACAAAAAAAAGCGTTGGACAATATTTAACCCGGCTTCCAGAGAAAGCTGTGTAGTGATTATTGGATAACCGGGAAAAGGTTGAATAACCGCCTTTCAAGTTCACACACAACTAAACAGCAGGATAACAGCTGTATAGAAGCGTAATGGATATGCAATAAGAACTTTTCCCAAGCGGTCTCAACAGCCATAAGTAGCTGATTAATTTCGCCAGATTTGCTTGTAAACAGGTTGAGTATTATTATTATTATTTAGCTTTATTAAGGAGGCTTTCAGCCTTGGGCTGGTTCACCTCCAAAAACAGGTTGAGTAAAGATTTCCTCATATCGTAAAACATTTGAATACAGCTTGAGGCTGTATAAATGAAATGAGCGTTTACATTGCGAAAATTGTTAGTTGGGACCAGCATCACATATTGAGAGATTAGATACCTAAAATTGTTTACTATCCAAAAAGCTTCGATCACCTGAACAAATATCTCTAAGACAGAAGCTTCCTAAATGTACAGCAAATTCTGAACACATCTGTCTATCATCTTTGGTAGCACCTGGTCACCAGAATAACTTTTTGCCGAAATCACTTACTTTCTAAACGGCCAGAATATCAAGAATCATATGCGTGCAGTTAACGGAAATTTGCGTACCGCATTGATTTCACACTAGAATAATCAAGTGAGTGGTAAAATGTAAATGTGATTAATATTAAAGCGATCACGATGCCATCAAGACAGACTGAAATAATATAAATCTGGGCTGTATACCCGTTTCCCACTCAAAAATTTACATTGTTGTTAAAATAATTTTTTACATCTATAGCAGTTAAATCGTTATGTTCCCTATATTTATATAATTAATAATTATATTATATTTAATATAATATATCATTATATTTCACCAAGCCTAAATTACTTTACATCAGGCTGAAACTAATGTTATTCAGAACATACTCCATTGATTAATATAATGATAGTGATCAATGTGTATGATTGATTCGAATCACTTGCATTAGTCAGCGTGGAAAAGAAAACAACAATTTTAATCAGCGCTGCATATACAGAAGGTTGTTGAAGTTTCAAATCCTGTCGTGATGATAGCAATCTTTTATATAAAAACACATGAGGTTTCTTATCGCTTCATTTCATCGTGAGCTATCGAGCCTTGCAGTCATCTCAGTTCCTCGAGTGTACTTCATCATGAGTGGCAAGTTTCTAGTGGTTCTCGCCGTCGCAGCTTTCATCAGAGGTAAATGTGGAAGTTCGAGATCGCAACGTTCTTAAATTTCGTCAATCTCTTAATTTTAATCATCAGCTACACAAGCCATGCCGGCAGAACTTGTGGCGGTAATGTTAGAAAACCAGGAGAAATGCATAGCCATGGCTGGATCGGATGAGGGATATCAGCAAATGTTGGGTTCGATTCAAATGGCAAGGACCTGCGTACTAAATCAGCTGGATGTGCAGCAGTTGCAGATAGATGCCATGCAACTTGCCCAGGGATCAAGAAAGCCTTTTTTCGACAAGTAAGCTTAATTTAGAAGTGACGCGATATTACCAACGTTGCCTTGTGATCCTATGTTTGTTTTGCAGATATTGTCCTAAGTTTAACGAATCGGTGAGTTGTTTTGATGATACGTTTGAAGGCATTGCCAAATGCAGTGGTGATGATGTCGATAAGGTTAAGGCATTATTGAAAAGCATGACTCACGGTTTGTTGGATCTAGCGTGTCAGAACGATGGACAATTATTCTTTGGTACAATACAACAGGTAATATGAACTTGAGTTGTCTAGGTAACTCCTGTTTGCTTCGTTTTGCAGACGCTCGAAAACCTGGTTTTAAAGATTGTATGATCCAGCTTAAAGAGCACGGTGCTCAAGAATGTAAGCTTTCGAATTCAACAACGGAGACGCTTATTTCGAGATATGGTGAACATCAATGTCGGTAAGAAATACAGTTGAGTGTAATTTGCATCAGTACAGATTAATGATTGAATTATATCTATTCATTTCAGAGAATTAGATGACACCAAAGAATGTCTCAAGAGGAAGATAGACGAATGCGATGCTCCAAGGATCTTTGATATTGTTCAAGTCGTGTTTAATGCGATATCTAAGGCGAACGATTGCAAACAGGTTTGTTTAGCCATGTATTTGCTATGTTGTGATTGTACTAGGACTGATTTTTCCTCTGCTTTTCAGTACACTACTTTGGGTGAAATCCCCAGCAATAATATTGATGGAACCGTGTCTGAAAACTAACCTGTGTTGGTTTTGAAGTAATCCATTTTTTTCGAACATGCTTAACCATAGCTCTCTTTCTTTATATATTGTTTAATTTTGTTGAGTTGTCATATTTTGCATGTAAAATAACCAATCTGTGAAAAACTGTGTGATTATGATTCGTAGTCCGAATAATTTCCCAACAAAACCTCGCCTTTTAGTCCCAAAATCCTACAGGTACAGTTTATGAACTAGTGCCTTCCCGATTTTGACTACACGAGCTCACATTTTTTCTCCTGTTTCGTACCAGTCAACTCTCCATATTTCTATATTAAAAGGACTATCGAGATATGGAGGGATCGAGATATACAACAAAAAAAGCCTACTTTACCATTTGAAGGGTCCGTGATAACCATCGACATAGAGAACAAAAGTGGTCACATATCGATATATAGGACGAGATGAGGAAAGATGACTGTAATTCTTTCTGGATACATTTTAATGTAATATCAGCCTTCTCTGATCCCAAAAGAACGCTCTAGTAATGTCACAAATTGAAATTAGTGTTCGATGAATTTTATAGAAAAGCTAGTAACCAAAAAACATGTGTTGTCAAAACTGGAAGGCACTGTGTAAGTTACATCCATCAATGATTAATAATAGCAATACACGAAATACGGGCCCCTTGGTTCGATTCCAGTATGCACCGTTTTATTTATTTTTTTTTTATTTTTTTGGCAATGTTATTTTTCATAAGGCAAATTAATTTAATTCAAAATGAATTTTTCAGGCTTAAATACACATGAAAATCTTATGAATACCGAGAGTTTACTTCCCTAGTGTACCGTGGTGGATTAATCAACATTCATGGACCTAGGATTTATAATCACTTTGGGTTAGGGTGCTTAAATACACAAATCGGTTGGTTCTAACATATACTTGTTGCGTTTCACTTTTTTCATTTTGTTTCTACTTTGTTATGATTTTGTATAGTTTGCATTCGTCTATATTTGAAATGTCAAATGAAGGGCAAATCACACAGATCAATTGTATCCTGTTTTGTAAGATGTAATTATTATTAAGATAAAAGATGATTGTTAAGATACAGTATAAAAACGTCAAGACAAACTGAAAATACACACAGTTGAATTCAAATCACCGAGTGGGCACGCTGCTTCTCGGAGTGCAATCAATCTGGACTTTTACTTCGTCCTCTTTCGTTCCGATTGAAGGAACCACAACGTAGGGTCCTGATCTACCACTGAACGAAACAATACTATTAGAAAAAATGGTGCAATTTTACAAACGGAGGTTTTGGTTCTTTAGAGCTGTTCCTAAATAATTGCATAGTAAATTACAATAAAATTATTTAAATCAAATAGAGCTCCACACTACTTAGTCGTTTCCGTTCTAAGTGCTAAAAACCATAAAAACAAAACTTTTTCAGATTAATTACATTTGATGTTGACATATTTGCGCTCATCAATGATCGATTTGAAGCGAAGTGGAGCATGACGAAGTGGTGCAAAGCCCTATTCCCCTAAAGCATATGTTAAAGCCAGTCGATTTAGGACTGTTAGCACCCAAACTATATGTTTCCCCCACTTCAGACACAGCGTGCGTGTGTGAAGCAAACTGCACCAGTGGGGCGGGATGTCAGATAAATAGCCTAGGCTAGTTTACATATTGATACTTGAAAATTCAGTGGTCTGTTTTGCATGCAAAAATACAATGGATTCAAGTTCTCTACAATTTGTTATCCCAAACTGACCTGAAATGGCTTCTTCACAACAATTAAAAGAAAATCACACAACGAGTTTAAAAAAAAGTAGAAGGGTCCCCAAGTAACAATTCAAGCTGAACAGTAAGAACAGAACTTGATTATTGGTTGATTTAAGGTGTAAAGGGTGTCCACGATGAAATTGCCACACTATGAAATTGCTTTAACTTTTTAACCGTTGGGTAGAATTTAATGAAAATTTACATCCTGCAAGTTTTAAAGTCCTGTGATCAAAACTCGCGGAAATGGAGTCGAAAGAACAGCTCGTGCGTGATAAAATCTTGCGCATTCATCACGAGAACAAGGATCTCTCGCATCGTTCCATCGCTAAAACGTTGGGAATCGCGAATTCCACGGTGTCGAGAGTGATTAAGCGGTTCGAGGAACGGTTGACCACCGATCGGAAGCCCAGAAGTGAAGGAAAAAGTATTCCGTACAACACCAAAAATCACAACCGCGTAGTTGGGGCCTTCAACCGAAATCCGAACGCCTCCGTTAGGGATGTGGCTAAGAAGCTGCACCTAAGCCGAAGTTTTGTCCAGAAGGCCAAAACTAAGGCTGGGCTTCGAACGTTCAAGGTACAAAAGGCCCCTAATCGCGACGAGAAGCAGAACAAGTCCGCCAAAACCCGTGCCAGGAAATTGTATCTCAACATGCTGACGAAAGTTGAATGCTGCATCATGGACGACGAAACATATGTGAAGGCCGACTTCAAACAGATCCCCGGCAACCTGTTTTTCACGGCCAAGGATAAGTTCAGCGTTCCGGAGCATGTCCGCACTCAGAAGATGTCCAAATTTGCGAAGAAATTCCTGGTTTGGCAAGCCATCTGCACGTGCGGGAAGCGGAGTGCACCTTTCGTGACCCAGGACACGATGAACGGACAGGTGTACATAAAAGAGTGCCTCCAGAAGCGGCTGCTTCCTCTCCTGAAGGCCCACAACGTCCCAACAATCTTCTGGCCGGATTTGGCCTCATGCCACTACTCCAAGGACGTGCTGAAGTGGTATGCGGACAATAAGGTCAATTTCGTGCCGAAAATGTTCAACCCTCCCAACACTCCGGAGCTCCGCCCCATCGAGAAGTACTGTTCGATTATGAAGCAGCACCTTCTTAAACGACCTAAGGTAGTGAAGACAGTCGAGGAACTGAAGAAAGTATGGGTTTACATGCAAAAAACGGTTGATTCACATGTTGTGCAGAATCTTATGGCCGGGGTTAAGGCCAAGGTGCGGGCATTTGCGTATGGACTGTAAATAAAATACGAGTAAAATGGTAAAATGAAGTTTAATAGTTATTTCTCAATCCCTGCAAATTTGATGGCAATCGGATGAAAACTCGAATTTTGCGAATCAATTTTGTGTGTGGCAATTTCATCGTGGACACCCTTTACAAAGCTGATTAACAGCAGACTGAATATATAGTTGATTAGTGGTGCGTGAAGCTAATTGTATTCCCATAATTCAACCTCAATAAGTTAGTTGATCTAAAGATTGTACAAGCCTTAATTTAGCTTAACACTACTCCACAAATCAGCAATGCACTACAAATATTTTAAAAGCCTGATTTGTTAAATGTAGTCAGTGTCACTCGTTGCATTTTCGGTATTTTAGTTCTTCTAAATTCACTGTCTACCTTTCTAATCTCAAGCAGCGGCATCAGTAGAGACAAGGTAGAGAAGCTTTTTAGGAATAGCTCCAAGTAGAAGTGGGCTGCAACGACGTCGGAAGCATTAACATTTGCGTTTTTGTGTTTTGACTGCTATGTTGCACTGAATTTTCAAACAGAATTCCAAAAATATAACTAAATTATGGCACTGTTTATTCCACATAAGGATCGAAAAAAAACACGCATTTCTATCCACATTATGTTAACTACACTTGAAAATGAGAGGAATGTTTTACTGTCACCAGTTGTTGTTTACAATTCTGCATTGCTGTATAATGCCGGTTGCTGATATTCAACTTAAATTTGACGTGTTTCAAGTTAATGATCATACTTTTTTCCATACATATGCTTAAGTGGTCCAGTAGCTATGATTGATGCCTGTGACTCAGTGACTCCCGGTTCAAATCCCGAAATGCAAAGGTAATTTTAAGATTTATAATAACAATATAAATATGTAAATCCAATTAGTTAGTCAGCAGTCCCATTAAAAATATAAGATATGAAGCGGTCTTTAATTTTTATTTTCTAAATAAAACTAGAAGGCTGAACAAGGGTTGGGAAAGACTGTTATTTAATGCCTTAAAACGCTTATAATTTATATAACTGTTAAGCTTTTGGCTGATTAAAATAATCAGATTTAGATATTTGAAAGCTGAACAAAGGTTAACGTGGCCTATGTATAATAATTATTCAAACTAAGGCTGAATTAAAATCGTTTGAACAACACTTGTTAAGCATCCAAATGTTACCTGTGTCTGTGCCTAGGGGCACGAACGGAAGCTTGACGTAGGGCCGCTAGTGGACGAAACAAATATGTTGATCATTTAGTCTTAACTCTTCCGTTTTTGAATTGGTGGTCCTGAAAAAGGCCGTTGTTTTTCAAATGGTGGCCACACCAGAGCAAGTCGATGCCGACCCGATGACGGCGGCCTGGTTATGCTTTCTATTGCGAGAAGTCTTTCCTCTGGTCGATGTAGGTGCTTTTCGTCGTCTTCGTATTAGTGCAATGCGTGCTGTTCCACTCATACGTCGTGTCCGACGCTTATCCGTCCGTTGCTCGAAAGCAAATGACGAAGAAAATGATTTGGCAAGCGTTTTTATTATCGCTGCTTTTCTCCTCCCTTCCTTTCATTGGTGAAATGGTAAGCGATCAACCGAGCATTGAGCTCACTCATGTGACCATGCGCAATGTGTCGTTTGCTCGATTTGCGTTCTATCGTATTGTCCGTGTTTGGGATTTTCCGTTACATGTCTGAATTTTGATTTTTTTTTATGTGAATTTTAATAGAAATTAAAGACGTTGTCCTACGTCACACATCTACATTATGAAAAGCATCAAAATCTGTATTTCCTGCGCTATTGAACACCATATAGTCAATGCAACATATATTATATGAGTGTCAAAATATTATGCACCCAGCCTAAAATTTGCTGTCATTCCTGTAAATCTCTAAGCCACTTCTCCCCGATTGAAAAGTGCTACTCCCGTCATAGCACCGTGCACTACTCGATTGTGCTATACGCAAGTAGCACCTGAGCTGTCCAACTACTCTCTCCTAGGTTTGCAGTCTATCTCTCCTTTGTCGCTTTCTCCTTCCAAATATAAGAGACGCGTTACCGTATTTGAGAGTTTAGCACCAGTGTTGTTTGCACCACTCTGAGTTTTTAGTCGATCCCTGGTGCTTTGATGTCAACTTCAGAGCAAGGGGTGATCATTCTACACAGTTATTTCGCACAAATTTTTTCTCAGTGTGCCTTAGAGTGCTGCAGCTGTGCTGGCAGTGCCGAGAAGTCATTGAACTGTCTTCTGTTTGCTTGAATAATGCCTTGGTTTCCACGGTATTTTGAGCTCTTGTTTTTGTTTTGTTTTTCGAAACCTGAGATGACCCGGAAGTAGGTACAACAAGATACGGACCTTGCGGGTGGATTTTGCCAGGACGGTCCTGCAACATTCTGTGTTGGACGATGGAATGGTTGGTGTAGCAGCAGAAGTATTAGCAGCCACTGCCATGGATGATATCCCAAGTAACAATTCAGCAGCTACTTGGCATCCACTCTGATGTATGATGGTTTTATAAAGGAAATAAACAATCCATTTAGTTTAAATATAGCATTTCAAAGTGTAAAACAGTCCTGGCTTATAATTAAGCTTATTGCTGTTTTGAAAACCTTTTATAGTCTGTCGAGAAAGTCAAAATCTTTCTTGCTTTAAAAATATATTTAAAGCAGCTCTCAATCCCTCCATAAAACTGTTCTGTAAATCCATCATAAACTTCATTAGCAATTGTTTATTAATGCCTCGATAAAATACTCTTTAAAGTTGTTCTATCATTATAAAAGCAACCATAAAACCATTCGATTTTAAATGAGAGCAAAAAGCATATATTGTTGAAGTTTAGACTTGTTAAAGTGTATCATAAAATCCCCAATTACTCTGTTTCCAAATTCAACTTAAAAGTTGGATTCTCATAGTGAATAAAAGCAAAATTTATGACAAGGAAATCTCGAAGAGTAGACGAAGTAGGATGAAAAATTCAAACGATGTTAAAATAGTCTAAAAACAGACCAGCATCCTCCAGATCGGACCAACAGAATAATTTGCATTTGTACTTACAGCAAACCACTGAAACTGTAAGTTAGTGGAGATTGGCTGGTTTCCGATTCATAGCAGTAATTTTATTCAGCGAAACGTTCGAAATTTCATTCGAGTGTACTTAATTCAAACTGCATCGTTTGTTGGTGCAATTCGGGAACCATCCGGAAGAAGGGGATCTTTTACGGGAACGGTTGAGCATCCAGCTGTTCTATTATATATGCGAAATATTGCGAAATGCTGCAAACCAGTTCCGCACACTTCGTTAGTAACTGATTCCAATCCAGCGTGAGAAAATCGCCTGGAAGAACGCTGGAGTAAACCTGTTGTGATCGAACAACCCAACTATCGAAAGATAAACAAACTTTGACGTTTAACTTTTTGCAGGTAACTTTGCCTCCATAAATGCTGCCATATATCTGAACGGGTTGGGATCAAGCAAAATGGCTTTATATAAATACAATTCAGTCAGGAAGTTTTCTTCATAAAAGCCATTTCAAAACCTTGTTAGGGATTTCATTAAAGCAAAACAACTTTTTCACAAATGGTCCATGCGAACCCACTTTCAAGCCACCGCCATATTCCAATTATTTTGTTTGATTTTTACAATCTTCGTTTTCAATGTGTATTTCCTTGGATATAATTTTATTTTGGTCAAATTAGCAATGAGGAGATATTTGAAATACATAAGCAATACAATAAGCAAAATCGACGTTTTCCGAGGGCGTACTTATTTTTTTTTTCGATGTTTTCAAGTACATTTCACATAAGATTTAATATGGTACGTAGTTGTAGCCACTTTAAGAGAACAATTTTAATAATTTTGAAAATTGAATAGGATTTTTATATGATCAGATTATATTTCCATTATTTTGTTAAGATCGGATGGTATTTATGAATCCTTTTCTATCTTGATTGATGATTTTTCTAGTAGATTCAGCAAGTGGCTAGCGAAAATGGCTTTAAAGGTGTTTTTATTGTTGCCAAATAGCTTTAATTGTAGCTTAAATACGGGATTCAAATGGTTCTCAATACGTTCGTCATACAACATTCTTGCAGTAAATCAATCTTGAAGAGCTTCGAAAATAAACCCTTCGGAACCTTCTCCAGGATAGGCCAACTAGACAGATTCTAGTCTTAATGAGGTTTTTGTGGATGCATCAATGGCAAAGCACCCTTGACCAGGGTTTTATGAATGTTGTTTTATAGAAGTTTTGTATTACTTCATAAAACTTAAAATGTTGCTTGGAATGTCTTCCAGCAGTTCCAGTCAGAGGCGAGGTGGAGTGGTATAGTTTTTGTTTGGTTGTTGACTTTCCAACTATAACTCAATCACCGCTTGTCATGACCGGACCGAGATTTCCAGCCTCGGTCACAACTACATGAATTAGCGATGCAGCTCCTACGACTGCAGCTGCTTCAAATGTTGCTGTTGTTCTTGCGGCTGCTGCAGCTGCTTTTGTTGCTGCTGGTCCGTCTCATTCGTCAAAAGAATTTTGAAGCAGGCGGAACAGCATCAGCAGCATTGGAAGCAGCAGAATGATTGTACGTAGTCCGGTGCAAAATGATGTACCTAATTCTTCGAACAGGCATTAGTATGTACGCTGACAATTCGATTTATGAGAATCCACTATTCAAACCCAATATTTAAGCAAGTGTATGGTCAGTTCGTTGACATGAAGCTATGAAAAAGCACATATCACTTCACTAAATTCTACTTTTATGCAATATCCATTGTTTCGATTTGGTCCTTACGTACATGTAATGCCTCCATATTTTTCTTTGCTTTTTTTTTCTTTCTTATTTTTCGATAGAAGTTGCACTAAAATTTGGTCACAATTTGAGATTACAAAGCCTGCAGGATGAAAAAAGGATGACTCATTGAAAAAAATCGTTAACTTTTCCAAACACAAATCCAAACCAACTAATGCTGCTGTAGTTGCGATACGTTAGAAGCGTTAGGTTCCTATACTTGCTTATTAAGTGTTCATAAGAAACTATAGAAACCTAACGCTACCACCGTATCGCAACTATAGGAGCGTTTACCCAAATAAACCAAATTAACTTATCGAATCCCGGCCAATATTTTTTTTTCAGTTTCCAGGATTTTGTAAATTTCTCTAGGTCTGAGATCTTGAAAAGTCAAAAATATTAGAAACATGATACTTTTCCTAACTTCCAAATTCAAGAAGTGGAAATTTTGGTAGAATATTTTATTTTCGATGTTTTATCCATAAGACTCTTAAGAAAATTTACAAGTAAACATATTTTTTCTATCCCACCATGACAAATAATTGTACCCTCAGCAAAACCGTAAGACTGCTGTTTTGTGTTTTTGTGTTTTCAGGAAAATCAAAACGTAATTATTTTTCAGAGTGTTAAATTTCCCGTTAATATAAAAATCGGTATGAGTCCTAAATATCGGTGTTCTGAGCCCGCTTATCTTTTTATCTAACCGAGCATGGGAATCGCTATACGCAGCAACCTCTGATAAGTCTGTAGGGTGTAGTCGGTTTCAATATTTAGGATAAGATTTTCAATTTTAATAGTTAGTTCATATTTCTTACGAGCACGTACGTCCTTAGTAGAACTGCTCAATATCAATATGATTAATCACTAGTATCAACACTGGTATTCTGAATGTCATATGCGCATCTGATCAGAATGATTACGACATAAAACCTACCAAGCAAAAAAGAACCCTTCCAGTCCCACCAGTTCCATCAATCAGTTACTTCAAACAGATATTCTTTATTCTTCTTCGACAAAAAAAAATCAAAATAATATCCAACTGAATGGATCAAATTGTGTGTAACAGAAGAGCGAATTCGATTACATTTATTTGGACACAATCCCAACTTAATTGTGTCAAACTTGGCGAGAGCAACGCAACAAAAAAAAAAACAAAATATCCTCGTTTGCCGTCGGACCCATGTGTGCACTCAGCATGTAAAATTGGTGCTACCATATCATAAAACCTTCCGATTGACATTCCTTTCGGACGATAAATTCTCCCATTTTTTCCCTTGCTCACCATCGTTTTCTCTCAATCCCTACAGTGCGAGACAAGCGTTATTTTTACGTTTTAATTACATGGTTTTATTTAACTTTTCCCCATTACTACTCTTCGATGGAGGCACCCTGCCACACCCACACGGGAAGCAACAATTTTCCGTTCGATGTTTATTTTTTTTTTGTGCTGAACAAACTTAATCTCTCTTTCTATATATGAATTCATACGCACCACCTACCGAGCTTCCAATTACGACGGGACTAGCAGCACGTATACACAGCCTGATTGGTAGCAGAGCTAGAGGGGGAGCTTTATAAATCCGTGTGCAGCACGGGGGGCCGAGAGCTGGCGTCAAGGATTTTATTGGCAATCGGAACCGCATTCGAAGGCGAATTTCCGCCCCCCGTCGTGGTCGTTGTCATCGTTGTAGTGGTTGTGTTACCATTGGTGTTGGTATTGCTGATGGGGCCGCCCTGTCCCGAACCTCGACTGCTCCCATTGTTGGCGTTGGCATTATTATTGATATTGTTGTTGTTGTTCACGGTGTCGTTGGGATGATTCTGATCGCCAACCTTCTGCCGTCCAGCATGAAGGATTTTCGTCGAATTGCCCCTTTCCGAGCCCCGATTACGTACGAAGCGCGGGAAGAAACTATTTTCTATCTGCAACTGGGCGTTAATATCCTTACCCTTGGTACAGGTACATGCCTTTAGGAAGCTTTTCTTGAAATTATCCGACAGAAAGGCGTACAGGATTGGGTTCATGGCCGAATTGGAGTAGCCCAGGCAGCTTACCAGGACAAAGACGGTGATTTCCAGACGGGATTTGCAAATGTCCGGAGGCGAATTAATTAATGCCACCTGGGAGATCCAATAGGGTAACCAGCAGAAGACGTACACGGTGATGACCGTTAGCACTAGTTTGGTCACTTTACGGTGAGAGCGTTTCTTCTCCTTGGACTTGCTCTTGGGACCCACTGTGCGTAGCTTTCTGATCACCAGATAATAGAACATGAGAATGAGCGAAAGGGGAATCGCAAAGCCCAAGATAAGGGAGTATAACGTGAAGGTTGTACCGCTGGCATTTTCCGATGGCCATACAATGTTGCAGGAGTTTTTACCCTTCTCATGGTTGACCGTGTTGGCGTACAGCATCACCGGAAGCATTATCAGCGCCGAGGTGGTCCATGCAAAAAATGAAACAATCTTCGATACTAGTGGTGTTCGGAAACGTGGTGATGAGATGGGATGGCACACGGCAATGTATCGGTCGGCAGACATGATGAAGAGAAATATCGATGAGGTGAACTGTGTTATCGAGGTTGACACCATGTACGCCTTGCACATAGTATTACCGAAGGTCCACTCACCCAGATGCATCGTAATGATGAGAAACGGAATGCCTATTAGGAAACATTGGTCTGCTACGGCCAGATTCAGGATGTACATATTGGTAACGGTTTGCATCTTGGAGAAACGCAGCACCACGTAGATGACGAGCGTATTGCCGAACAGTCCGATCAGGCCCACAACGGCGTACAGGATCATCGAGATTAAATTCCCAATCGGCATCTGAATGGACGGACATGATTCAAGCGCTGTATCGTTACGGAATAGAGGGAACAAGGGATGAAACGGAAAACGATATGATAAATTAAACTCATTTGATCTCGATGTCAGGGCTCGGGAGAAGTTGCTCAGCAAATAGGACAGGTTGGACGACGCAGATCCATTTGCCGACTGTCGGATTAGTGTCAGTAGTTCCGGAAAAGCTATTCCCACTGCAGGTGGTGACATTGCTGAGACCATCATCGGCATTGCTGTCGTCGATACTATATTGCCACTATCCATTTCATAAGGTTGACTTCCATTTAAAACGTCAGCAGTACTGTTCCAATCCATTTTATACGATATAATTTGAACTTCTCGATAGTTACAACTCAGGTGGAATTTCCAATTTCCCACTTCACTTGCCAATATTCACATCTAAAATTGTCTCACAGTAAATTTCCTTCATTTATAACCACACCAGTAAACAAATTTGGTATGTAGTTGTTTGTTTTCCCAACGACGGCCATAGGCACAATCAACACGAGTAGTCTCTTCACACAATTTTTCAGACCACGCTTTTCCAACAACCGGGAAATGCACGCGTAAAACAAACAAACCGAAAATTCACTGGCACAGTTTTCTCTGCTCTGAGTCACTCATGTGCTGATGAACGCTCGCTTCTTAAAATCGTAGTCAAAACAAATTTAGTGTTTATTGGACCGATGCCTCAACACCTGTCCACCGGCACAATGTTTATTTTCCAATTTCTCACGCTTCGTGTACATTAATCATATTTTTCACAGCTAGCGAAAAAGAATTAATCCACACGTTGCTCAAACAAACATTTTATTGCCAAGCAAAAAAAAATAGATGCACTTATTCTTCAGATCCGGCCCGCCAAACGCGTGCATTATTTATGGGAATCGCTTTCATCTCTCCCACCGTTCTCATAATTCATCTCCCCACTTAGTCTTTTACCGGCAGAAATTTTCCTTTCTCTCCAGGAAAAACCACACTCTTGTTTGTTTTCAACTTTCCTTCAACACTTGGCAACTCAGCCAGAGAGATCTCTAGAGATCAGCTTCAGATCCATCCGACCGGCACGACGCTCAAACGAGAACTGATGCGACCGGTGGCTCTGTCCGGTGGAAAAAGTCACGAACGGAATGAGCCTTTCGCTGTACTAGATCCATACCATACGAAGTACTAGAACAATGTCCTCCTTGATCCTGCGCCGGGATTGCGATGGCAACCGCGACCTCCCTACCAACCGGCTAGCGCCAGCTGGGATGCTCTACCGCCGTCGTCGTCGTCGTTGTCGTCGTACACTTTCACTTTCATTCATAAACATTCCAAGTGGTCGGAATTGTCTGGATGGCGGAAATGGGAATGGAAAGCACGCGATGCAGGAGGTAGTACTAGAATGTTTGTTTTTGTTCGTGTCAGGCATACCGAAAAACTATACAGCGCACCCGGTCTCCGAGAAAGAGACCGACGTCGACGACGGTGGAAATCATGATGATTATGATGATTATGATGATAGCAATGACGATGGGTGGACATGATTTTGCTTTGTCTGTTGAAGGGAGGTAGTTACCGTTGTCGGTTTACGTTCACAAAAGTAGAGGTTAACATTCAATGCGGTATGTCTATAAGAATTGATGGAGTTATTCTGCCTTGAAAAGATTTGATGAACATCACTTTCTTCCTTGATGAAGTTTTGCATGAGAAAATGTGCATATGCCAGACTTTACCCCAAGGGGTATGGATGGTCCAGTGTGGATCGTTGAAAACATACATGAGAACGTCTCTGAAGAATAATACATTATTTCAAGAGTACTCTTCCGTTAATAACACGATTATGAAAACGATTCTTGTCATGTTTGTATTTATTGCTAGATAAAAGCTCCTTTCATCACCCCACATAGGCTTAAACGTGAAAATTCGTGAACTTAATAATGTTCTGATGCCTGCGTACATGTAAGCATTTAAATGTCTTAAGAAGATTTTCATTGCATGTTGCTCCGCATATTTTAAAATATTCACTTTAAGTTTACCTTGAGGTAAAACTAAACTCCAAAAATCAAACTTGCTAGAGAGGATGAGTTCTCTGCAAAGTTCTATGCATATTATTTCAAAAAACTTTGTTAAAGACATCAAGTTACCATGACTATAATTTACAGAGGTATAGGAGATATTTGGCCAGTTCATCCTATATATCAATTTTTTAGCATTCCTACATTTCAATCTTGTTGCATTTAATTGATATGTTGTGTAAAGATTTAGAAAACATCAAAACACTCAACTTTCTTCAAGACACCTAAATGATACATTTTCATTTGTGAAAGATATAACAATTTTCAAATAAAAAATAGCTCTTTATCAAGACATTATGCCGTGTAGCCTCAAAATCCAGACACTTACTCCATAAATTCGGTCACTTTTAAATGTAGATGATCACTACCTACTATGCTCTTTTTTTTTCTTTTTTCCTCTGTTCGGAACATAAAACGACTGCGACCAGTAACATATTCCGTGTCCTTAGTTTAGTGCATGTCATTCTTGCTTTTATCGCAAGGAATTGTAATTGAAAGTGTCCCACTATTAATACCCTTCGAAGAGTGAGAGCACCCTCCAAAGGCGCGCCCCTTTGTCAGTCATAATTGGATTCCTTACACGCAAACCAAAAATCTATTAAAATGAATGTTAGTTACGGTTCCTATCATATCGCAACGAATGTTAGAAATCGACCATGCAGGCGATGTAATGGTTTTTTGTCTTTTTTTATTTCGTGTTCTATCTACGCTTTCGACTATACCAGTAAGCTTGTTTTTTTTTTTATAATGCGTTTATTTTTCCAGGCTCATTTGCTATAGCTTTGCGGAGCCAATATTCATTGATTAGATTACAAAATTACTTAAAACTAACGTTAGTAAAGCGGGGGCCGATTACTCGCGGCTATGTCGAGGTTAGGGGTGACAAATTGTAACAAATGGATGGCAGGGTAGGGATTGTGAACACAAGGTTTGGAGAGCAATGTGCTCTTGATCTCGAACTAAGCGACACTCTGATGAAAAAGACAAACATGGGGGTACACCGATGGGCAGCTAACAACTTGAGAGAACGTTGTTTTCCGTAGTAGTATCGCGGGTTGTTTTCCTCGGGCCCTGAGGGATGTGGATAAATCAGATCTGGCAACACGGTGTAGGGTACACGACCAAACAACATGCTCGATATCGTGATAACCACTGCCACACGCACATACATTGCTGTCTGAGAGCCCAATTCGATAGAAGTGCGAGTCTAACGAGCAGTGATTGGACATAAGCCTTGATATAACGCGTATAAAGTCGCGGCTCATGTCCTACCCTTTGAACCATAGTTTGTTCGACACCTGTGGGAGAATAGAATGTAACCATCTTCCCAATTCACCATCATTCCATTTGTGTTGCCAACTGATGAGGACTTGCTGACGAGCAATGGAGAAAAATTCGTTGAAGGCGATTTGTCGCTCAAAAATATCGCCTTGCATAGCGCCCACCTTAGCCAACGAGTCCGCTTTCTCATTACCCGGAATTGAGCAATGAGATTAGACCCAAGCTAAGGTGATAGTATTGGAGCAGTTAGATAAAGCACTCAGTTTAGATCGTATTTCAGGCAGGAAATACGAGGAGTGCTTCATCGGCCTCATTGAACGAATAGCCTCCAATGAGCTAAGACTATCCGTAAAATGAAATAATGGTCAGAAGGTAGTGAGGCAATTCGCTCTACTGCGTAAAATATAGCTGCGAGTTCCGCAACGTATACTGAGCATGGTTTCTGCAGTTTAAAAGAGGCGCTATGAAATTGATTAAATACACCAAATCCAGTGGAAGCATTTATGGTTTACCCATCTGTGAAAAATCTTTTATCGTTACTTACATGGTGGTACTTGATTGCAAAAATTGAGGGAACAATCATCGACCGATGGTGATCTGGTATTCCATGGATTTCTTGCATCATGGTCAGATCAAAATTTACAGAGGAACTATAGAAGGCTTGAAAGCAATCACGATTGGAGATTAATGAAGAAGGGGCAACCTCCAGCGGCATGTACTCATAGTACAGACTCATGAATCTTGTTTGAGGATTTCGGTCGAGCAGCTTCTCAAAGTTTTCTATTATCAATGGGTTCATTACTTCACAACGGATAAGAAGCCGGAAGGACAGTTCCGCGAAACGATCTGTCAGTGGGAGAACACCCGCGAGTACTTCGAGGCTCATCGTATGCGTCGAGTGCATACAGCCAAGCGCGATTCGGAGGCAACGGTATTGAACCCGTTGTAGCTTCAGGATGTGTGTTTTTGCCGCGGATTGAAAGCAGAAGCTACCGTACTCTAGGACCGACAAGATGGTTGTTCGATACAACCTGATCAGATCTTCCGGGTGTGCTCCCCACCAAGTTCCAGTAATTGTACGAAGAAAATTGATTCTTTGTTGGCATTTTTGTTTCACATACGCAATATGTTTTCTCCACGTGCTTTTGTAATCGAACCAGACACCTAAATACTTGAAAGATATACTTTGAGTGATTGTTCTACCCTTTAGTTGAAGCTGTAACTGTGCAGGATGATGTTTCCTAGAAAAAACAACCAACTCAGTTTTCTCCGGAGAGAATTCGATACCCAGCTTCATAGCCCAAGTAGACAAATTGTCTAAGGTATATTGCAATGGTCCTTGCAGGTCCGGTGCACTTGGTCCTATAACGGACACAACGCCGTCATCTGCAAGCTGCCTTAGCGAGCAATTTTCATCAAGACAACCATCAATGTCTTTTACATAAAAATTATAAAGAAGGGGGCTTAAACATGAGCCCTGGGGGAGACCCATGTAACTAATTCGTGAAGTTGTCGAGTTTCCATGAGAAAAGCTCATATATTTCTCAGACAACAAGTTGCTCAAATAGTTGTTCATAATTGGTGAAAGCCCACTATCGTGGAGTTTATCCAAAGGACATCGATACAAACAGAATCAAAAGCCCCCTTAATATCCAGGAAAACTTAACCCATTTGCTGTTTTAGCGCATAGGCCAGTTGAATTTCAGTTGAAAGCAACGCAAGACACTCGCTCGTTCCTTTGTCTCTCCGAAATCCAAATTGCGTATCTGAAAGTAAACCATTCGACTCAACCCATTTGTCTAGACAAAAATGAATCATTTTCTCCAACAATTTCCGTATACAGGACAGCATCGCGATGGGACGGTACGAGTTATAATCCGATGCGGGTTTACCGGGTTTTCGAATGGCGATAACTCTTACTTGCCTCCAGTCATCCGGAACAATGTTGTGATCCAGAAATTGATTGAATAAGTTCAACAAGCATCTCTTCGCGACGTCTGGGAGATTTTAAGCAAGTTGAACTTGATTCTATCCATTCCTGGAGCTGAGTTGTTACATGAGAGGAGAGCAAGTGAGAATTCCACCATCGAAAACGGGGAATCTATTTCGTTACTACCCGACGGACGATCACGAACGTTGGTTTGAACCGACACCGAATCCGGGCAAACTTTCCGCGCGAAGCTGAATATCCAACTGTCTGAGTACTCCTTGTCTTCGTTGACCGGTGATAACGCGTTTCGCATTCTCCTGCCGACATTCCAGAGCGTTCTCATGGAAAGTCTTGCGCGACAAACCATCGACGAACCGACGCCAGTAACCGCGTTTTTTGGCTTTAATCAAGCCCTTAAAAGTGTTCTCGAGGTCGGTGTACCGCTCGAAATCCTCGACCTTACCGTGTTTGCGGAAGCGTTTAAATGCGGCGGACTTCTCGCTGTTCGCGTCGGTGCAATCCTTATCCCATCACGGAGTGAGAGGTCGTTTGCGAACGAAAACACCCGGAACGCGTTTCGTCTGTGCTTGAAGAGCACAGTCAACGATAAGTCGCGATAAAAAGGAGTACTCATCCAGCGGAGGGAGTATCTCAACCGAATCAGTACCACCGAGAACCGCGGACGCAAATTTTTGCCAGTCGATGTTTTTCGTGAGGTCGTACGCGATGTCAACCGAGCGAGTGGAAGATGAACCATTGGTAATAGAAATTTTGATTGGCAAGTGGTCACTACCGTAGGGATCTTGGATTACTTTCCACGAGCAATCAAACGATAGTGAAATCGAACTGAGGTAGAGGTCTAATCTACTTTCTCTTGCTGGAGGTTTGGCCACTCGTGTTACTTCCCCAGTGTTTAGAATTGTCATGTTGAAGTTATCGCAAAGGTCGTATATCAGGGTTGAGCGGTTGTCGTCGTACAGTTCCCCCCAGCCTGTACCGTGGGAGTTAAAATCTCCTAAGATCAACCGAGGCTCAGATAAAGCTGAGTAGATATCAGAGAAACCTTGGCGAGAAATCGCAGTTCTTGGAGGAAGATATACTGAGGCAATACTGAGGCTTTTACCTCGAAAATTTACCTGACATGCGACAACTTCAATGCCTGTCACGGAAGGCAGATCGATTCTATAAAAGGAATGGAGCTTATTAATCCCGAGAAGCACCCCTCCATACGAATCTGCTCGATCAAGGCGAATAATGTTAAAATCGTGGAAAGGGAGATCGGTGTCTGAAGAAAGCCATGTTTCACAAAGAGCAAATGCATCACAAAGTGAGTTGTGAAGTAAAAATTTGAATGTGTCAAGTTTCGGTATAAGACTTCTACAGTTCCACTGAAGAACAGAGATCATATCCCCGACCTCATTCGGAAAATTATCCATCAAAGGATATGATCGACGCAAGGAAAGACCACCTAGAAGCTAGTTGCTTCAAAAGAGTTTTCACAAATGGAAGCACTAAATTAATAATGTTCCTAGTTGAGTCAGAGACGTTGAATATATTGAAGATGCTCTCCACAATTCCAGAAAACGTGAACATGGCAGCATGTTCTTGCTGGTTATTCAGCTGTTTTTTCTGGCTGAAAACTGGGATATCTGGGGTTTTAGATGATCCCGGAAGTGGCGGAAAGTCTTTGTTAAAATTACAAACTTTAAATCCCGGTGGTGAGGGTTTTGCTACATTTCCGCTACCTTTTAAATTTGACAAGGTAGGTTGAGAGTCCGTACGAGAGGCCTTACGAGGTTTTTGGGTGACGTTTGTTTTGGACCGCTTCCTCGTGTTGCCATTAAAGACAAAAGGACTACTCTCACCCACCTCTGAGTCAGAGCCCTGATCATCATCTGGCAGGAGGTGGAATGTGTTGTTGCTTTTTGGGGTGGTTTGGGAAGATGAAGCGGTCGTTTTCAAAATTTCTGCTAACGAGCGCTTAGAGCGAGCTTGCAAAGACCGCTTTAGTTTTTCTCCCTGCTGTTTGTACTTCGGGCAATCACTCAGAGCATGCGGAGCATCCTTACAGTAAACGCATTTTGGGGTAGCATGACAAGGACCCTCCGTATGCTCCTCCCCACATTGATCGCACCGCGGTTTGTTGGAACAAAAGTCCGTGGTGTGACCTAGTTGTTTGCATTTCAAGCAATTCATTACCCTCGGTACAAACAAGCGTACATGTAGTCGAACCTTCCCAATTGTGACGTAGTCAGGTAATGCCGATCCTGAAAAGGTCACACGAAACGAATCTGAGAGGGTATACTTTTTGTTAGTGCCTATGAGCGACACTGACTGCAGTTGAATGCAGTCCAGTATCTTGACTTTCGGGAGGGCACGGTTTTTGAAAATGCCGAAAGATTCGACTTGTAGGAAATCCTCACAAGTCAGACTCGATTCGGTGACCACTCCTTCAATTTCTACGTCACAACTGGGGACGTAGACTCGATATTCGATCGAAAAAAGCTCACAGGCAACAATCCGGTTTGCCTGTTTCAGGTCATCAACGGTAACGGCAAAATTATTTCCTTCAGTCGCTGCAATAGCCCCATTCTGCATCAATACAGGATGGAAACGGCGGAATTAGAACGAGTTTCGTCCATCTGCGACCTCGGTGTTACCATCGATACGAAACTAAGGTTCAACGAACACGTGGGAATTATGACTGCCAAAGCTTTTTCTGTGCTGGGATTCATCCGTCGCCATGCGTCCGAGTTCACCGACATTTACGCGTTAAAAACTCTCTACTGTTCGTTGGTTCGTAGCATTCTGGAGTACGCTGCTCCAGTTTGGGCCCCTTACTATGTAGTTCATGTTCTTACCATTGAACGGGTACAGAAAAGGTTCGTACGTTTTGCATTGAGACAGCTTCCCTGGAACGATCCGTCTAATCTTCCTCCCTATTCTGACCGATGTAAGCTCATAGGATTGGAGCCACTATCTACCAGACGAGTTACGATGCAGCGATTATTTATTTTTGATGTCATCGGAGGATTTATTGATTGTCCTGAACTTCTCGCACAGATCCCACTAAACATTCCTCCCCGACGGTTTCGGAACTCACCTTTATTAGCAGTTCCATACCACAGAACAAACTACGGATACAACAACCCGTTCGATTCGTGCCTTCGCTCGTTCAATGTTGTTTGTGACGAATTTGATTTTAATTTGACCAAAAATGTTTTTAGAAATAGGATTAGAAGCAATCTTTAGTTTATAAGAAAATAGTTCAGTCTGTACGACTAGTCGAAGACGGTGATATATAAAATAAAGTAACGCGCAGTTTGTTTGACGTTACCTTAAAGATATCGGTTACGGCCGAAAAATGTTTTGTCTGATCCTTCGAAATCCGAGAAATATTCAAAGGTTTTTGTTTGGGCCGGAAAAAAACAACCCACGGACCTTTTGAGTC